CTGCGTCCGTGCGAAATTGAAAAAAAATTAAATAAGCTTAATCCATTTACACGAAACTTCATCTAGATCCGTGTATTCGTCCTGGAGATGACTTCTAACATCCATCCATTCATACATCTATCTAATCTTTCGTATTTATAATATAAGTACAAAATAATCTATTAGTTTCTAAATAAGAACCCGGTTTTTCAACACATTTTATCTAAAAAGCCGACTTATTACTGCACTTAGAATACGTTCACTTAGGAAGCCCCTTAGTACAGATTTCTCAATCTAAATGTACACTTAAGAAGAACAACTTATGAATACGACAGTTCGTATTAAAATGACCTATTTTAGGGCACTTTATTAAGTACTACATGTATTTTGTGTTATAGAATCTTAACATCATCATCAACCTGCCCTTATCCCTATCGAGGGTCGGCACAGTATGTACTTCTCCTCCATACATCTCTATCAGCCGTCATATCCGAGTCTACCCCCTTATATATAATCTTAACAATCCTTAATAAAGTCTTGTTAAGTAATATTAAATTTATTTTTTTACTTTAAAATATTATGTCAAAATAAATAGCTGTTATTTGAACCGTTTTTATATGTTGATAAGAGAATAACGTATATCATTAAAATGCTATAAGTGTACGGGCGATCTCGGCCATTTTCCGGTAACTGACCACTGGTTTTGCATCAGCGACTCTCAGAAACGCTTCTCAGAACACAGATTAATGGATTAGGTATTCAATTAGTTCCATGTAGATACGTTAATTGAAGAGATAAAATCTTTAAAGAAATGTATAGTAAAAGTTATCTTTTACTGAGATCTTTTTAGATAAAATTAAACGCAATAATTAACTTAATACACTCAGAGTTAGTTAGTTTTAAGCGTCAATAACCTAATGGTTAAGGGTACGGATTACCGATCACGAGGTCGTGGGTTCGAATCCCGCCATTCAACTATTGTCGTAAACCATATCCTAGCACAAGCATAGAGCTTAGTTGGAATGGTAAAAGAAAAATTATTAAATAACAAAAAAATCTGCTAATATTTTTATAAAAAAAAAAGTAAGTCACTATAGGACATCCTTAGTGTGGATCTAGTATGAGTTACGACTCTTGAATAATGCAGTTAGATTTAATTTTTTAAACTAAAAACGAATTAAAAAAAAACATAATAACATAGTGTTCTTCCAGACTATTTTCTATATTTATGCCAAATTTCAACGAGATCCGTTCCGCCGTCCTGGACATAATAGCCTATGTATCATTTCAGACAGTAATCTTCCGCTGTTTATTCGTATAGTAATTTTGGAGTGGTGGACCTGATAACAAACATCCATCCATACATATGATCTCGCATTTATAATATTAGTATTTGTAGAAATTTTGTTAAGCATTGTAAAAGCAATCCAAATAAATTACAAGACAGTTAAAATTAGTAATGGATCGTTTTGCTGCATCAAAAATAAATAGAAAAATGCGCAATAAAACTTTAAATTGTTATTAATAAATTCCATTAGAATTTTATGACTGTTTGTTTGTAAAGTTAAATAATCGTATATTATCTGTGAGTCGTTGCTGGAAGTAAGAATGTAGACTGTCAAGTTTCTTCATTTACCAATTATGTGTTTAATTGTGTTAAATTATTTAACTAATAGCCATAGTTAAATGTATACGTGCTGAGAATCTTATTTATGTTCGAAAGATCAATAAAAATAAAAACTGAACATCGATTGCATAAAATCTTGTAATGGCAGACAAAGATGGCGACTCTTCTGTCTCACTTTGACATATACAAGTCAGGTATTAAGAAAGAGACAAATATATAAATACAGATAAGGAAATGCGTTTTTATTGTTTTCCATGCAGTTATTATTCAGTTTAAGGTAACAACTTTTTTGTTGGGTTAATTATAAATGAATAGACAGACTTCGCCATATTTTGCTTAATTGTTTTATTGTTGAAATTAAAATAGGTACGTTTGTTTAGCAGGAAAAAAAAATGATTTCCCACATGTCGTTTTAATTATAAAATTAATCTTGGTTAAGAGAGAAATATAAACGTTATATTTCTATATTTTCCTACTTGTTAAGGGAGAAATTGTTTCTAAATCTGCACATAATTAGGTACATTCTAACTCTACATATGCTTCGATGGTCACTTCAGTGATAGCCCACCACGTTTTCCCTTCTTTTATAAAAAAATTCTATTTGACACGTACTCGATAAATGTTACTCTAACTAATTATAAATGCGATGAGTGGATGGATGTTTGGCATAGGTGTAGAACATAACCTGGAAAAACATAAGTTACTAATTAAGTTTTTTTTCGTTCCGCGCGGACGGAGTCGCGGGTGGCGGCTAGTTTGAAATAAATATTAAATCATAGAACGGCAACATACAAATTAAACTAATGGCATGTTATTATACAAAAGCGATCAAAACATTGCACAAAATAATTTATCCAATACATGAAGAGATTACAATAATCCAATTAAATCGAGACATTGACAACTAAATCCTATTAACCGGCCCAAACAGCGGCCGTAATTGGCCACCATTACATACAAGCCCTTTATGGTCTGTCATCGCAACACAAAATGGCGGACGAAATGGCGCGCGCGGGAAAAATAAATACGTTTAGAGAGATGGATATTATATCTTCATTAGCGTACGGTAGCACGCATTGATATGTCGGCAGGTGGGGGCCATTGAAATTGTTTGTATTTTATCACTCGCATGCGAACGGATAGGCATTTGTGCGGACAGCCTTTGCCTTATTGGATTGTCGGCTGCGGGTATTGTATTGACTCGCAGCGATACTCCTACACACTACCGTGAATATTTCATATATAAATAACGACGAATACATTTCTAAATTAAATAATATGTAATCAGAACGGTACGGAACGATTGTCGCATGATTTAAAAATAAATACTTCAAAGATTTGTTTTATAAATAACGTATTGATGCTCGATATTTGATTTGGCATTTCTTTGGACAGAAGTTGTTCAAATGACAGATATAAAGAGTTTTTCTCATCGATTGTCTATGGAAATAGTTTTTTTAATATAAGCAGATATTTGTTAATGTACTAATATTTCTTGTACTAATCTCTAGACTTGTGCTAGGATATGATTTACGACAATAATCGAATGTTGGGATTCGAATCATTGACCTCGTGGTCGGATATCCGAACGCTATTGACGCTTCTTCTTTTAGAACTGACAATAATTTTCGATAAGTCCAGTGATTGTCGCGTGTATTCCATACATTCATAAAATTTGTTATGAGGGCTTCGGAGCGAATGCACTTTGTCTAGCCCCGCAGATTGCAAGTCAAGTGCTTAACCCCGGAGCCACCGACGATCCATATTACGTGCGATTATTTTTTGTGATATTTTCTCTAACCGAAAGTTTCGTCAGACTCTCCGTAAATCTACCTTTAATATAAACAGCGTGAAATTACTTAGAAATTAATTCACACATTTTAAACGATTCTAATTTTAATTGAATGCTTATTAAATTCGTGCATACTTAGAAACAAAATTTTACCAGACAGTACTTTGTTTGTTAATAGAGGTGAAAATGTTAATTAAACATAGGTCACCCATAGTCTAAAGCATAACATATTTGCATATATAAGCATAGTATATTTATGTCATTATAATATCATTATGTCTGGCAGGAAATACACTGTAGAATTTTTCGTTTAAGATGATTGGCTAGACTTCGTGGTTTGTACATGATATGCAGAGGGATGGTAATGTAAGCAAAAAAGTAATGAGATTGAATGTGAATGACTACAAATGTAGAGGAAGACTAAAGAAAGTATGGATGGATTGTGTGAAAGAGGATATGCGTAGGAAGGGGTAGATTCAGATATGACGGCTGAAATGTATGGAGGGGTAGTACATACTGTGTCAGCTCTCCGTAGGGTTAAGGGCAGGGTGATGATGAGATTGGCTGGCTAGAAAGGTAGAGAAAGACCGAAAAAATTATAGAAAATATATATTAAAAAAGTAAAAAGGGAGTAAAATATGAAGACTGCTGAAATTATATAGTTTATTTTAGAAAAAATATTTTATTTTAGAAAAATAAAGTAATGTTTCACGGGAACGAAGTCGCGGGTAATGCTAGTATACAATAGCCAAAGAGCTTGGTCACTATCATTTTAAACCTAAGGTGTCATTAGCCTGTTAGGGTACAATGAAACGAGTAATCAAAATATGTAAATAATCAAGTAAGTAATGACACTGCATTGTTTCACCTCCACCAGAATATGTATGAATGAGCAATTATCTGTTTCCACCTTAAGTTCACATTCTTATTCTAATCAATAATTTTATTTCAGTAATTTAAATATATGACGTTCAGCCACTAAATTATTATATTTAATATTGTTCAAATTCTCTAAGAAAACATAAAAGTATTGATTTTTAAGTTTTCCATTGACGTATGTACGAAGTAAAGAATTTGTCAGGAAGATTTTAGTTATCAATCTTACAGGAAAAAGAGAAGTATTGAGTACACACTTATACGTAAACTAATTAACAATAAGTTTTTTTTTTATATATCATAAGATGGCAAACGAGCGAGCGGCCACCTGAAATCGCTGAAATAGCGAAGTGACTGTTGCCTATAGACATACGCAATTGCATATGCGTTGCCTACCTTTAATTGGCGGAGGAGAGGATGCACAGAAAGAAAATATTTGCCCTACCCATCCATCCTCTCAACCGGAAAATCCACTTCCACTTTCCATCCTTTCCTTATAAGAAAAAGGGTGGGAAGGGAAAGAGGACTAAATAAGGCCTCCGGGACACACACTCATCAGACGAAACGTGGAATTGCTTCCACTTCACGCCTGTCTTCTTTGTGGTCGTGGTATTTCACCGGGCGAGCCGGGCCAATTCGTGCGAAGATGTTAAAGCGGACTCTACCACTGTTAAAATTCTAATCATTATCTTCCTCTTTTTCCTTATCATTATAATATTTTTCCAGCGGGTGCCCCAAGTGGTCCTCCAGTGGTGCGTTGTCAACTACGAAAGCACAAGCCTAATCGTAAACCGCGCACACCGTTCACCACACAGCAGCTGCTGGCATTGGAAAAGAAATTCCGAGACAAACAGTACTTAAGCATCGCTGAACGAGCTGAGTTCTCCTCATCGTTGAGACTAACGGAGACACAGGTGAGAATTACTTTAACTTATTTACTACTAAAACTCGTAGTAGGTTTCTATTACTTTCGACCCATACTAATCTTAAATCTTAAACGAAAGGTATGGGAAGGGAAGGTAGATTTAGCAGAGGACGGGAATAATAGAAAGGGGAAATAACCTCTTTTTGTTTCTAATTCTAAAGCTATCTTAAAAAGTCACCTCTAAATTAAACATTGCATTTTTCAGGTAAAAATTTGGTTCCAAAATAGAAGGGCCAAAGCGAAACGTTTGCAAGAGGCTGAAATAGAAAAGCTCAGATTATCTGCTAGACCGCTACTCCCACCATCTTTCGCTCTCTTCGGTGGTGGGGGTGCGCCGCCGCTGTTCGCAGCAATGGCCGCCGCAAGCAGACCTCAGTTGAGCTTCCTCGGCGGCCCTCCGTCACATCAGCACGCCATCAACATGAACATACTAAATTCATTACAACCTCATTGACATCAACAAAGCGCGGGTACGCGTCATTTCACACATCCGCCATCTTAGATGTAATGTCAAAATTGTCATAAAGTAATTATCACACAGATCAGATAAGTCAGAATGTATAATAATTAAAGTGTTTTGTGATTGTAACATCAATAGAACGAGTAAATATCGTTTTTTAGTAGTATGTAATATTAAAAATAGAGTAGAAAATTGGTACTAACAATACTTCAAATCATTTTAAGATATTTTTAATTACAAATGGAAATAAACTTCATATACTAAGAACACGTGAGTACCTTATAGAACTTTCAGTCGACATTTCTACTCTATATTTGATGTCTATTCGTTGTATACAACTATATGTAGAGTAAAAATAAGAGATACTACTATTTAAAGGTTAATTTGTCTTTGAAAAAAAATAACGAAACATTTTTCCTTCAATTCATGTGCAATTCTTATAAAAATATTTTCCCATGGATGATATTATAAATTGATTAAAAAGTTTTTGTAAATATTGCAAACTTATTTTATCCTATAGAAATTTAGCTGAATTATTGCTGTTCAAAAAAAAATAAAGGGTGTTTTTTTGCAAGTTACAAAAACATTTGGCATTTGGCAAAATTCATTTAGTTTAATTTTTTTTTTTTTTAAATGTCTAATGTACAGACATACATTAAAAACAAATGTAATAATTAAATTTTATTAACGTCTTAAACGCGTAACAGGAAATTTTTTGCTGTTATTTGCTTTTAATTTTTACAACTTTTTTTAATTCAACACGGACAAATTCCTTTTTGTTATAAAAAATTAATAGCTCAATATTTTACCTTTTCTAATAAAAAAACGTAAAAAGCTATTATTAATTACGACAATGCCTTTTTATTTAACTTTATTGGTTTTTGCATCATACAATTTTTATTTACATTTATTATTTTTTCATACAAAAAGACACATCCAGAACAAAATTTACACTGTTGAAAAATTAACGAAAAACATATGGTGATCTCATTTTTTTTTGTAAAAAGAAATAACATCACTATTTATATTTTGTTTTCAGCATTCAGCATTATCTATTTTTATTTATATATAATTAATATCTTATACGCGTTTGTATAAAACCAATATATTATATATTTACACATTAAAATTTTTCCTTTATTACATATGAATGTGAATGTAAATATGTCGTTTAATTTATTGTATACGTAAGCGTAGAATAAGTGGATTAAGCTATTATATAATAGATTTTTTATTACAATAATTTTGTGAAAATTGTAACATCCTGTACCGTAGGCATTGGTTGGAATTAGATTGTTTTTTTCTTTATTCATCTAATTTTAAAGGACAGACTGTATATTTGAAAAATAAATCAATTTAAGCATTTGATTTTTTTACTACTCATAAAATGCAAACAAAATAGTAGCCAAGTTCCGTCATCGGACGACACGACAGACCGCCAGGTTCCATTCACACCATCTCGATGGATGGCAATCTACAACGGTGGGGTTTACGCGAAACTTCCTGCCTCGCACAGCCGCGTTGTGGAAACGTCTGTCCTCGGTGGTATTCCCAAACCGCTACGTCTTAGGGTCCTTCAAGAAGCGAGCGTATTACCATCTCAAAGGCCGGCCGTTGTCCATGGGCGTAGATGAACACCTCGGTGTTCCCGCTGCTCGTTTGCCCCCTTCTCTTATAAAAAAAATCCTGTTTTTTGATTTGTCAGGCACAACCAACATAACCTAACTGTAAAATTAAAAAAAATGCAACCGGACTTACAGGCTCTAATGCATGAAATAGCGCCATCTAATAGATGCAATTTAAAACAAAGATTTTGATTTGTTTTTAATTTTAATTTAACAGGCCGTATGAATCGATGGATTGATGAATAGGATGGATGTTTCTTAGAAGTTATCGCCAGAAAGGCTGCGTAGATCTCGCTGAAATTTGTCATATATACAGAACATAGCCTGAAAGAACACAAAGGCTACTAATAAGGTTTTTTTTAATTCAACCAACCAAGTCGCTAGGTAATTAATAACCGATAAATAAAATTCATTCTAACTGAAATATTTGCAACATTACCTTGACAGTTTGACATTGACCACTTGTCACGTTTAATTTATAAAGTTTAATGATTAATTCATTGAATTAGCGACATATGTTTCCGCATGTTCAACACAACTTTATTTATTTTTAATTTAGAATGCAGAAACTTTAATATGAAATATCTTTCTAATATCTTACTAATGTTATAAATGCGAATGTTTAGATGGATGGATGGAAGTTGGTTAGAAGGTGTGTCCAGAACGGCTGCATAATCATCATCACCTCACTGTATGTCCCCACCGAGGGGGTCGGAGCCTACCCTAAGTTAAGGGTGATTAGGCCATAGTCAACCACGCTCGCCAAGTGCGGGTTGGTTGGCTTCACACATATCTTTGAATTTCTTCTCAGATATGGGCTGCATAAACCTCGCTGAAATTAGGCATTGATTTAAAACATAGCCTGAAAGAACACATAAGCTACAAATTAAGTTTTTTTTTTGATTCCGCGAGAATGGAATTTCAATCGACAGCTAGTAAGTAAATAACGAAGGTATGAAAAGAATCGATAATAATCTTATCTTTACCAATGAAATGACATTAATCATTGCATAACAATCGATTTATTTAATAAAGTTGTAGTCTACAGAAGCTTATCCTTGCGATCATTCGATTGGTGTAAAATAATTATGCAGTCGGCAATAACTAGTAATTGAAATTTATTAGCCTTAAAGCCTTATAAAGGATCCGTTAGTTGGCTCGAGTCAACTTAACACTTGACTTTCCATCGTAAAAATATACCTCAGTGGAAAGTATAATGTGTTAAGATAATCTGATAGGTAAGCATGATCCTTATGTCAATCAAAATACAGGTCATTTTAGCACGGAGTAGTTGATTATAGGTAAAATAAAACGAGGTACTGAGTGTGGACAGAAAGACACTAATTGGTAAGTCATACAAAAACTTACGCACCATCCAAGCTATAAGCAATGATAATATTGTATAATACAGTCATTTGTATGCTGCCTTTGATCAGGCAAGTCACTGGAATGCTATTAATTACCCGTTTATTTATTTGTCGAAAAAGATCATTTTTATTAACATTACGCTAGTTAGGTATTGTAATTGATTATACTATCTTCTATAAATGGACTGGCTATAAGAGGTAATATTTTGTGCTTATTTGATTTGCGCCATTTTGACGATAATGGTAGCGGTTTGTAGAGGTTGTATGGATCCGAAAATGCCACGAAATATCAACAGCGGGTCTAGACTAAGTTCATTCGGTACGAAGCGATTCCATAGCGAGCTTCAAAAATGTTTAGAACTGACGATTACTTTTGATAAGTCACGTAATTGTCGCGCTTCAGTTCCATACATTTTTGAAATTCATTATAGAATCGCCTTGTAGAGAATGCATTTTGTCCAACGAACGAAGCAAAAGATGTAATTTCCAAGCAATCGCCTATCCATTTATAGAGATCCGTGGTTATGCGTAAATGTGAAACTCTACTGTCTTCTCTCTGCATTGACATATATTGTTGTCTTTGTTCTTTTCAAAGAGTAAGACAGGTATGACTACTTATATTAATACAACTATCATATCAGTGTAATAATGACCAGTTTAACCTGACCTATCTTGCAGCCTCGTTTTTATATTACTCAATGAAATATTGCAAGTTTCGAGAGCTCTTATATTTTACAATTTTTATAATGAATTGCCTTTACTACCTTTTACGTGATCTCTCTATAGGGTCAGTTTGTAAATTTTTGTCGTGAATTTTTAAAAGGTTTTAATGGCTGAGTTTAAAAGAATTTCAGTCTTATGCTATATATTAATTAAGTTATTTTTCCTTTAATAAAATTATACGGTTTAAAATAATAATGTCAAGATGATTATGAAGATTTTTTGCGATATTTCTTTTCCGTTTTTAATTATAGGTCAGAAATATCGGAAAATTATTAAATTAATTCCGTGTATTTAACTTTTTTGTTTATTAATAATAACGGTTTACTTGAATATCTTTTCATTATGTAACCGTAAAATTACCACATCTACAGAGCAAGTTATAAAAGTAAGTAAAATTTACTTAAGTTACATTTTAATTTTAGTAACTAAGCATAAATTACATTAACTTTAAACTTTATCCACTACCACCAATATTAAATTAAATTTAAAATAATTTAACCGTGGGTTTCTGTCAGCAAAATCTCTGTATAAACATATTGTCATCCCTGTCTTTTATCTATGAAAAAACAGAGATAACAATATCTTTGAAACGTCGATTTAGTCTTAGTAACACACGATACCAAACTTTTGGCTTTAAAGTTACCAAAGATACATAAGGGTACCAAACTTTAGACTTTAAAGTTTTAATAAAACGAAACATACAACTCAGTTAGTCAATACTTTACAAGATTATCTGATCAAGCGAAATTCCCAGTTTATTTCTTCTAATATTGGCAACTGTTATTCTTTATAATTGCCAATTGCCACCAATAACTAATCCGACCACGCCCTTATCCCGCCATAGTAAACGATTCCATTTGTCAGAGTCGAGTTGCAGAATCGATTACATGTGCATATCGTTTATGTACGAATCGATTTTAATCACACCTTTACACGCGATGTTTAGACGATACATATTAATATAACTATCAACACTCTTTTTAATAATTAAAAGGGGCCTTAAGAATGTCAACCTAAAGTTACAAGTCAACAGTTTACATTTATAATATCGTCGTTCGAATTAATTATAGTACCTGGATGACCGAGCTTTGCTCGGTATTTTTTTTTTGTGAATTGTGTTTATTGGAAATTATATTTAAGTACGAATTCCTAATAAAATGATGAAATATGAATAATAATTTTCGATCTTACCGATAGAAAAAGTTAAATTTATGTTTATGTTGATTATCGATAAAACACGAATAAAACGACATTTTCTAAAAATGATTCCTAGCTAGATCGATTTATCGCCCCCGAAAGCCCCTTATACTAAATTTTATGAAAATCGTTGGAGCCGATTCCGAGATAATATATATATATATATATATATATATATATACAAGAATTGCTCATTTAAAGATATAAGATATTGAAAATAATATTCTCCTTATTATTTTTAATTGTATAAGCTGCTCTACGTCTGTCAATCAGTATTAAAATGTGTAGTTACGTGTGTCATAAAAAAATATTGAAAGTTTTCCACCAACATAAACTAAAGAATCCAATTAAGTTATAAGTCTGTATTGCAGAACGATTTAAGAACAAAACGAGGCGTCTGCAATTCCTTTGAAATTAGCATACACAATTATTAACTCAAACTGGAAGCGTAAAGCCCGGGGCCGCAATCGACAGTTAAGACAAAATATGAAAGATTATATGTCAGAAGCAACATGGCTGCCGAGCGGCGTGATGTTTTAATTAGCCCAAAGGCAAAAGCACTCTGCGGTGTACAGCCAAATGGAACCCTTAGGGCTGATACAAATGTAAAACTGTAATGAGACTCTCGCCACAGAC